TTTTTTGCGGAACCGGGGATTGAACTCAGGCCTTTGTGCTTGCCAGGAAAGCACTTATTCCACTGAGCCATCTCCCCGGCCCCAACAATATTTTAAAAAAAAATGAATTGTACACTTAACTTGCAATAGAATGGTATATGAACTATATTTCCATAAAGGTGTTTAAAATATATATACACATGGGGAAAGGAGAAATGGACTTAAAAGAGAGGAAAGTGTATTGAAAATGACCGAACAGTGTGCCTGTTTCCCAGCATGAAAAATTATGTATCACAGACATATACCAATTAAAATACTATTGAGATGACATAACCGTTAGGCAGATTAAATTTTTTTTTTAAAGAAATTGACAATACCTAGTGTTGAAAAAGATGTAGAGCAATTAACAGTGTCTTATCCAATTGGAAGGAACATGCTGAAGTACTTTTTTTAAAATTTTGTGGTACTGGGGATTGAACTCAGAACCCTGTGCTTGCCAGGTAGGCACTTATTCTACTGAGCTATCTCCCCAGGCACCTCACTGAAGTTCTTTAATTTCCTCAGTTCTAAAATGTTTATTGTATTATTATTTATTCCACTGTTTTTTTTTTTTTTTTTTTTTTTTTTGCGGTACCGGGGATTGAACTCAGGACTTTCTGCTTGCCAGGCAAGCTCTTATTCTACTGTGGTCTCTCCCTGGCCCTATTCCACTTTAAACTGAATTTATATGATTTATGGATGATAAGTTTACCTTCAGTAAATTCATGGTGATGCTGTACCTGATATTTGGATTTCTCAGATTTTGAAATGCTAACATGAATATGATCAAATATTCTTTCATACTGTTTAAAACAATCTGATTTTCCATGTCTCTTTATTTTAATGATTTTGATACTTAAACATTAAAGTTTTCTTTAATAATGTAATTTGTATTTTTTTTTTTCATTCTTGTTTATTCAGCCCCTAGAGAAATAACAGAATCCAAGGGACAAGAAGAGGAACTTGTGAGCCTAGTTAAATATTTCAGTGTTGTCTGGAGTAAGGCTTCGAAGAAAAAACACAAAAAGTGGGAAGGAGATGCTGTTCTTATTGTGAAAGGGAGGTCATGTATATTAAAAGATTTGGAAGGCAAAGACATTGGGAAAGGTATTGGATATAAATTGAAAGAACTTGAAAA